AGAAGTGTAAGATCATGCGCACAACTCGATCCTCTAGTGCGGTGACTTATCCCTATTGCATGGGTGATAATGGTCAAATTGATAGTGTAAATAGTTACACTGACCTTGGTTTTGAGGTTTCACACGACTTTAAGTGGAATAACCACATTGATATCATTTCAAAAAAAGCAAACCGTTCGCTTGGGTTTGTTAAACGTACTTGTGGTTGGAGGGCGCCTTTGGTTGCCATGAAACTGCTCTACTTATCCTTAGTTTGAAGCAAGTTGGAATTTGGAGTCCCAGTCTGGTCTGCTCATCTCAAGCGTAATCTTGTTAAGCTAAATTAAAAGATATAACTAGCTAAAAACTAGTGTGAGCTGCGTCGGTGTTTCTAATGAAACAGTAATGATGAAAAGGTAAATTATACACCGTGAAAAGATGAAAAAACTTACTGACGTTTCGGACGCTAGTCCTTCGTCGGAGTTAACGGAGTTAACGGTTGTTAAGCTAGAAGGTTTTCAACGTAGAGCAACGAGATTTATCCTACGCTCTGACGCTGACTACAAGTCTAGACTTATTTCCCTCAATCAATAAAGCTTTTGCCACTGTCCATGCGAAGAGAATTGGCAGACATCTTTTTCCTTTTCAGATGCAGACTGGGGGTCTACGATTTAGACTTGTCAAATTATCTGAGCGTTTATAACCCTCCCAAACGTACAGGGAGAGCAGATAAGGGACCACTTTATAACTTTTTTTAAATTTAAGACTGAGACCTTTGCTTCATCTTACTTAAATCGTGTGGTTCTCTTATGAAATGATCTGCCGGCTGAGCTCAAGCAAGCTATCTCTGCACCGTCTTTTAAGCGTTTACTTGTTAGTCATTATCATGACAAATTTTTGTATTCCTTTGTTGAGACCACTAATACCTGTTCTTGGGTGACGAAATGCCGCTGCTCCAACTGTAGGGCTTAACCATTCATTTATTAGTTACCTGTTTGATCTCTTTTTTTCTTCTTCTTAATTTTAGTTGGAGACTATCCTATAGGTGGAACGTCGCCTGTCTAGTTCTCCGCAACAGTTTAATTGTTGKAAGCTTAATAAGTAAATAAATAAAAAAAAGTATTTCTAACTTTACAGTTGAATTGGAAGAGAACATGAATCTTGCAATGACTAGTAATTATAGGGCTTATYGTTATTTCAATTGTCTAAACAAAATAATAAAGTATCCTTTGTTATCCCTTCTATTCATCAGCCAAACTAGGTGCAATTAACGTCCATAGAATTCCTTCTAGACTACTTGTCATATGATAGACCAGGGCCGTAACCAGGGGGGAGCACAGGGTGCACGTGCACACCCCATAAAAGATTAAGGTCCGTTCATCCATCTTCTTTTTTTTTTATTTATTTATTTCATTTATTTTTTTTGGTTCTGCTTTCTTTTGGTTACCTTTTTTTTCTTTTTGGTTCTGCAAATTATTGTCTGTGCACCTCCCTGCAAGATCCCTAGTTATGCCACTGAGATGGTAATAAAAAAACGATCAATGGTCCGATTTTATTNAAAAAGCTCAGAGAATAAAAATCTCAATAGTCAAGTGTTCATGGTTCGAGTGTCTTCACTGTAATACATGGATATTTTTGGAATTACCATTAAATTTCATTCTTAAAAATGTAGGTTAAAAAAAAGTTTCAAATGTTTTGTCGAAAATTATATTTTTGAAAATGTTTACCAGCGATGGTCTCAAGTGTTTTTAACTTTACAGTTGAATGGGAAGAGAACATGAGTCTTGCAATGACTAGTAATTATAGGGCTAATTGTTATTTTCAATTGTCTAAACAAAATAATAAAGTATCCTTTGTTATCCCTTGTTATCCCTTTGTTATCCGCTTCATCAGCCACACTAGGTGTAATTAACGTCCATAGAATTCCTTCTAGACCACTTGTCGTATGATACTCTAGCCTGAAGTGGTTTAGCAAAAGGTTATAAAAATGATCCAAAAGAGAACATTTTTAGCGCATTTGCAAACTTTATATATCTCTTTAAGTCTTTCAGTTTTTAGTAGAGTAAGTGACTTGATAAAATCAAGCTAACAGCCCAGCTATCGACGAAGCAAAGACGATGTTGACTGTACTTGTTTTCGCAATAATCCTTAGCATCGAGCTTGTGTCTGCCATGCSAAGACACGACCTGAAGTGTCTCGACGGCATTCATCACAAGATGTATCCTTCACCAGAGAGATCTGGCTTTGCGGCTTGTTTTCCTTGGCAAAACAAATCTTGCTGTTCGCCAGACGTGACTGTGAATCTAGTGGAACGTGGCAAGAAAGATGTATTGCACTTTGACTGGGACTACTGTGGTGGTTTAAGCGAGGTAAGAATAAAATAGGAAGAAAGGGAAAAAAGTTTGGATATATGGAAGGGATTGGCAGAAAGATAATACGAGAAGCCTACACAAGCCTATGATCCCTCCCTAACGGAGCTCTATGTACTGAAATTATATCTATTAGTRTTTTGACATTTTGACATCAATTCTYAYATCCAATTTTACACAATTGTGTCTTAGGAATGCAAAGCCATTATGATCAACCACGAATRTCTTTACTTTTGTGATCCAAACCTCGTGAAATGGGAGATAAATGGTGGTTTTGGTCCGAGAAGTACCCATTTGCAGTAATACCTGCGACCAATGGTTTGAGGCCTGCAAGAATGACAAAACTTACTCTGACAACTGGCTGGAGGAATACTTCTTGCACCACAATGACAAGGGTCCTATAAAACCTGACAGACCTTGTCGCACCTTTGCCGAGGTAAGTATTCTCCCTAAAATACCTCGATAGAAACATACYTATTATGTAACAAACCACGTGAATTCTTTTCCAAGTAAAACGCTGTAGAAGAACTGAATATCATCTCTYAATCATAATCATTTGTAAAGCGCCTTTGARCATATCCATATGGAAAAGAGCGCTATMTAAATATCATAATCATCAATCATYATCATGTMTTGATCACTACACARTGGAATGGTGTACATAGTTCAGAGGGYTTCTTTGAACATATCCATATGGAAAAGAGYGCTATATAAATATCATAATCATCATCATGTCTTGATCAYTACACAATGGWATGGTGTACATAGTTCAGAGGGTTTCTTTGTTGGTATAAGAAATGRAGGGATGTATTTAGGGCGGTGTTTTTACAGCAGGGGGTGTCTTGGTTATTGTATGGAAAGGCACGGGTTGCAC